ATGATTCGTGGAAGTATTATGAGTTCGTGCATTAGCCTGTTCGTGTCGGGGCTTCTTGGTTATGTGTTACGAAAACCTGGTTTCGGAATAGCTTCCACACTCCTGTGCTTCCGGTAAGTTTATAAGAACATAAATGACTCTAGGGGCTCCAGATCCGTTAACTTTCCAGTGGAACACGTGTAGACTTTCCAGAGGTTGCAGATGGAGCACTCGTCGACTTTCCAGAGGTTGCAGATGGAGCGCTCGTCGACTTTCCAGAGGTTGCAGATGGAGCGCTCATTGACTTTCCAGAGGTTGCAGATGGAGCGCTCATTGACTTTCCAGAGGTTGCAGATGGAGCGCTCATTGACTTTCCAGAGGTTGCAGATGGAGCGCTCATTGACTTTCCAGAGGTTGCAGATGGAGCGCTCATTGACTTTCCAGAGGTTCCAGATGGAGCGCTCGTCGACTTTCCAGAGGTTCCAGATGGAGCGCGCGTCGACTTTCCAGAGGTTGCAGATGGAGCACTCGTCGACTTTCCAGAGGTTGCAGATGGAGCGCTCGTCGACTTTCTAGAGGTTGCAGATGGAGCGCTCGTCAACTTTCCAGAGGTTCCAGATGGAGCGCTCGTCGACTTTCCAGAGGTTCAGAGGTTGTAGATGGAGCGCTCGTCGACTTTCCAGAGGTTCCAGATGGAGCGCTCGTCGACTTTCCAGAGGTTCCAGATGGAGCGCTCGTCGACTTTCCAGAGGTTGCAGATGGAGCGCTCGTCGACTTTCCAGAGGTTCCAGATGGAGCGCTCGTCGACTTTCCAGAGGTTCCAGATGGAGCGCTCGTCGACTTTCCAGAGGTTGCAGATGGAGCGCTCGTCGACTTTCCAGAGGTTGCAGAAACACCTTACGATCACCGGATGCTTCCTCCACTGCCTCCGGACCTTCCTGCCGGTGACAGTTCTCATCCTGGCAGCCACCACATCCTCTTTAGCGGCCACCTGTGTATTTACTATTTGTGCCTGCAGAATCGAGCTGTTAGCTCTTGGACCCCGCCTTTCAACCCGTCGTTTGCCTAATGTACCGACTTCCTACCAAATGTTCTCTATCTACTGCATATATTTCACTCTCTCTCTCACACACACACACACACACACGGGGTGAGTAAGCACATGACACGACATAAGTGACTGACCATCCCTCCCCCCCCCTTAATGGCCATCCTCCCCCCCTCTCCTTCCTGCCATCCCTCCTCCCCTTCCCCCACTCCCCCTCTCCCCTAAGGACGGACCCTTCTTCCTCCTGTCGAAGGTAGCATCGTCCTTATGACCTTCGCAGCACTGTTCACAGCCTCAGGACCTCCCCCATTCACCACTTCTCATAGCCCAACCGGTCCCGGCGGACAGCATGGCATGAAGTCAAGATGAGAGGAATGGAAGGGGGACAATGGAAGAACATGGAAAGGAAAGGATGGGAAAGAATGGAAATCCAAGTCTCTGTATACAAAAAGGTCCATTAGCTACTGATGAAAAAATCCACAAGGGCCTATTTTCTACTGATGTTGCAAAGTTACTTTAGTTCATTTATTATGCACCCCATACCCATCTTGTGGGCGGTAGTGGAAAGGGTTACAGAGGCACATAATGGGCTCAGGGACTGAACCCCACAATTCATTTAGCTAAGCAAGTTACAATCTTGATGAGCTAGTTACAAAATTCAGTATAAGGGGCAAACTAAACTAACCTAACCTAACCTTCCTAAGCCTAAGACACGTTAGCTGAGGCCTAATATAGTACTTATGTGTGCTATACTAGGCCTAAGAATATTTTTTTTATTATTTCCGGCCTCTTTAAAAGTGAAAGTACAAAATTCTACTAAATTGTTGTTTAATACGTCAATATTTGTACTTTTGGAGCACATAGTTACAAAAAGTACTTATTAAACAAGAGGATGGGTTAGTGTGCGCGCGTGTGAGGGCGCGCGCAAGTGATTATGCGACTAAATTCTCAAAAACTCTGATAATTCATTGAAAACCAGTAATCCGGTTGAATCCACAGTAATCCGACAAAATACAAAGCTAATCCATCGCGACTCAAAAACGTAAACACCTTCAAGTACATTCCTACAGCAGGTGCCAACTTGGGGTGCCGGGCGAGGCTTAAATAGCTCGTCCCCAGCACCTGCTGGCTGCCAGGTGGCTGCCAGGTGGCTGTCAGGCGGCTGGCAGGTGGCTGGCAGGTGGCTGGCAGGTGGCTGTCAGTAGGCTGGCAGGTGGCTGGCAGGTGGCTGTCAGTAGGCTGGCAGGCGGCTGTCAGACGGCTGCCAGGTGGCTGTCAGACGGCTGCCAGGTGGCTGTCAGACGGCTGCCAGGTGGCTGTCAGACGGCTGTCAGACGGCTGCCAGGTGGCTGTCAGACGGCTGCCAGGTGGCTGTCAGACGGCTGCCAGGTGGCTGTCAGACGGCTGCCAGGTGGCTGGCAGGTGGCTGGCAGGTGGCTGGCAGGTGGCTGTCAGGTGGCTGCCAGGTGGCTGCCAGGTGGCTGTCAGGCGGCTGGCAGGTGGCTGGCAGGTGGCTGTCAGTAGGCTGGCAGGTGGCTGGCAGGCGGCTGGCAGGCGGCTGTCAGACGGCTGCCAGGTGGCTGCCAGGTGGCTGTCAGACGGCTGCCAGGTGGCTGTCAGGCGGCTGTCAGACGGCTGCCAGGTGGCTGTCAGACGGCTGCCAGATGGCTGTCAGACGGCTGGCTGCCAGGTGGCTGCCAGGTGGCTGTCAGACGGCTGCCAGGTGGGGTGGCAGACAGGTGGCTGGCAGGAAGCTGCCAGGTGGCTGCCAGTAGGCTGGCAGGTGGCTGGCAGGTGGCAGGCAGGTGGCTGGCAGGTGGCAGCCAGGAGGCTGTCGTCTAGGTAAGAGGCAAGTGTGTGAAGTGAAGACGAACGATTCAGTACCAACTACTTGTCTGCCTGTTACGTAGCAGTTAAGAGAGACAAGATAACTGAAGGTGAACACGGCAATACAAGAATATTAAAAAAAACTAAACTGCAAAAGGCCTATTGGCCCATAAAAGGCCTATTGGCCCATAAAAGGCCTATTGGCCCATAAAAGGCCTATCCTCCTTATATCCACCCAAACTCATCCATATATGCCTATCACGTTACCGGGTAATTTGTCCCATAAATTAACAATCATGTTTCCAAACCAGTATTTACCCAGGTATTTCCTGAATCTAAACTAACCAAATTTATATATATATTTCAAACCATATTAAATGGTATTTGTTATACCATTTAATCCATTCATATGATTGTGTCTCCTCTTCCTCTCGTGTCTGGGACTAATTTTGTCATGCTGGGACTAATTTTGTCATGCTGGGACTAATTTTTCATGTCTAATTTTGTCATGGGGACTAATTTTGTCATGCTGGGAGTAATTTTGTCATGCTGGGACTAATTTTGTCATGCTGGGACTAATTTTGTCATGCTGGGAGTAATTTTGTCATGCTGGGACTAATTTTGTCATGCTGGGAGTAATTTTGTCATGCTGGGAGTAATTTTGTCATGCTGGGACTAATTTTGTCATGCTGGGACTAATTTTGTCATGCTGGGAGTAATTTTGTCATGCTGGGAGTAATTTTGTCATGCTGGGACTAATTTTGTCATGCTGGGAGTAATTTTGTCATGCTGGGAGTAATTTTGTCATGCTGGGAGTAATTTTGTCATGCTGGGAGTAATTTTGTCATGCTGGGAGTAATTTTGTCATGCTGGGAGTAATTTTGTCATGCTGGGAGTAAATTTTGTCATGCTGGGAGTAATTTTGTCATGCTGGGAGTAATTTTGTCATGCTGGGACTAATTTTGTCATGCTGGGACTAATTTTGTCATGCTGGGAGTAATTTTGTCATGCTGGGACTAATTTTGTCATGCTGGGACTAATTTTGTCATGCTGGGAGTAATTTTGTCATGCTGGGAGTAATTTTGTCATGCTGGGAGTAATTTTGTCATGCTGGGAGTAATTTTGTCATGCTGGGAGTAATTTTGTCATGCTGGGAGTAATTTTGTCATCCCAGGACTGACTTTGTCATCCAAAATTTGGACTAATTTTGATTCTAGGGTTCTTGAAGGGGGTAACATTAGATATCTTGTTAACGCTTCAGGATATCAAAATGTGCAATTAAAACACGATAGCAACAGGATACTTGTCTACAAGTTCCTTTGTAAGTGTT